GGAGAGTTTTTACTGTTAGCTTAAAACTAGAAGGTATGTCTTACTTTGACTTTAAACATATTATATTTTCTGTTCATATTAATATCTCTTTGCTGGCAGTCCAAAGAGAAAACCCAGAGCTGAGACKCTGGGATCAGCTCAGAGACATAAAACAGCTACGTAAATGTTTTTGCAGAGTAAATTAAGAGGACCGTGGGAATCTTATGAACATTTAGTTTGTATTAAAATGTAACCTTTTTATTCTACATTCATACCATTTGTTAATGCTTTCTTTCATTGAATGTGCTTTATTGTGTCTTCAAAAAAATAAAGTTTTTTGGAAGAAAAAATGATAATTTAAGATTTTGGCATGATCTTTTATTTAGTATTATTATTATTATTATTATTATTATTATTAGTAGTAGTAGTAGTAGTAGTAGTAGTAGTAGTAGTAGTAGTAGTAGTAGTAGTAGTAGTAAAACCCATAAGATTTTGTTTTTGTTTGTTAATGATTACATCCTCCTGGCTGAGGATGGACACACGCTCTGTGGGACACAGAGCATTTTAATGGGACATAATAAACTGGCTGCCTGCCGCGGCTAGGGAAGCGACTGGGGGTGGGGGTGAGACACGGTCCCTGCAGATGGAGGAGCCACTGTGCGAGCCGGACACAGAGAGCGAGCGACTTCAAACTGAGCTCCGAATCAAGCTCACAGCGGGTGGAATCCACTTCTTCACTCTTTTCAGGGGCTTTCTTTATTTAAAGGATTAGACCAGAAACTGGGAGCGACGGTGAGTCTCAGCTTTCTTTCTCCCACAACTTGCATCAGAAAAACTCAAGCGGCTCCGCACAGGACTCCAAACTCTTGACTTCTTTTTTTTTTTTTTTTCATGGTAATGTGACTTTTCAGTCTAAACACGTTCATTAAGTGTAAGCCGTGCGTGTTAGGATGATGCGTTCCTCCTTTATAACCCAGCAACCCAAATCCTGACACCTACTGACTAYGAGGACAACCCTCCTCCAACAGAAACATAACTTTGTCTCAACATATCTGTTCCGAAACCTGACTAAAACCTTTTGGTGTAGCTTGCGAAACTTTTTTTTTTTAGAAAGGTTGTCCCAGTTTTATCGATATTGAGTAGTTCATTTCTTCAGTTATGGATTCTCACCGCTCCAAGACGCACAAGCCCTTTGTGCGCAGGCGCGTCGGTTTGTCGCCGCCTTCTACCTGAGTGAGGAGCGCACCTGGATCCAACAAAACGGAAGTTAAGTTTAGTGGAGTCAGTGTGGAAGGATTTGTCTCTTCGGTTGGCGTTACTGTTCTGCTTGTTGGAGCTGAAGCAACAAACGAAGTCGATAAAAGCAGAAAAAAAATGACTCGGTTTTGTGAAAACACCTAAAGCACTGCTAAGCTGAGACCGTGGCTCATCGACTCATGGTACGTGTTTTTTTTTTTTATATTTTATTTATTTATTTTAATCTGAAGGAATACAGAGCCAAAGTTGTTAGTGAAGTAGCTACTTAGAACACATTAAATAACAAAGTGTTTTTCTAAAATGTTCCCAAATTGTATCTTTTCAACTCTATTTATAAATATTTGTTGCAGYTGAATCTCCCTCCAAAGGCAGCCTCCTCTCCATTAACAAAGAATGACAACTCTTCGCAGAGTTCTCCGAAGAAGACTGCACCCCTATATACTGGCAATAGTGGCCTTAGTGTTTGTGACATTTGTGTTCTTCATACAATGGGAAGTTGGCACCCAAAACCAACAGGAGGACCCCTGGCTGAAGGGGATGGCGGTGAAGCGGGACAACGTGCTGGACCTGGTGTTTGGAGCTGTCAACTTTAGGGCAGTGCCGAAGATGCAGATCAAAGCCCCTGTGAGGCAGCAGGGTGAAGCAGGCGGTGCCTCCTGCCTGCCAGGTCACTACACTGCTGCTGAGCTCAGGCCGGCTCTGGAGAGGCCACCCCAGAACCCGCTTTCTCCCGGAGCTGCTGGGAAACCTTTCCACACGAACTCGCTGAGCCCCGAAGAGCAGAAGGAGAAGGACAGGGGCGAAGAGAAACACTGCTTTAATGTTTACGCAAGTGACCGCATCTCTTTAAGCAGAGACCTGGGAGCGGACACGAGACCACCGGAGTACGTGAAAATCGTTCTTTCTAAATCCTCACAAAGCTGTGCTCACTGAGCCAAAACWGCTCACTGTTCTCGCTTTTTGTTCTCTTTTTCTCTGGTCCACAATGCATTTTAGAAACTGACTCAGAAAATTACCCACATGTATTATTGTAATGCAGATAGGGTAATTTGACATGACAGTCTAACCCAAGCAAATTTCTCATATTTGCTTTTTGCAACAGAAGAAAATGTCAGGGAGAAACCACAGAGATGATTATAGTGACTGAGACTTTGTTTCAGCGTGCCTGTTGAATTACTTTTGGGCAAATTCAGACAGAAGCAGGGATTGCTTACATCTGAGTACATCGAAACCTAATGACTTTTTGTGTTCGCTGAATGAGTTAGACCTCACGTCTGTCCGTGCACTGGGTGATCTGCTTAATCTCCCCCACTCCCAGCATGGCAGGGATTTTAAAAGGTTGCCATATATGTGGTGTCACAGCTGAAATGAACTCCCCACAAGGGAGGAGAGCCTGCAAATATAATAACCAGACCGTGACACATGAGAGAAACTATTCAGGATAGACGTTTGTTTTCTGTTCTTCCTAATGCAGATGTATCGAGCAGACCTTCAAGCGATGCCCCTCCTTGCCTACCACGAGCGTGATAATTGTCTTTCACAATGAAGCTTGGAGTACTCTGCTTAGGACGGTATACAGCGTCCTTCACACTTCCCCGGCCATCCTTCTCAAGGAGATCATCCTGGTGGACGACGCTAGCAAGGATGGTATAAACTCAAGAGGGTCCTTGAAGACCACTCAGATTTCACTTTTCAGGCTTGATTACATGCAACGGGCTGGGTGGGCAGCTCTAAGAAAAGCTTCATGCTCTTGTAGTGGCATCCGAAGTGGGTAACAAATGACCTTAAAAGGCTGCTATAGTACTTTCTGTAGTGGTATTCGACGACAGCGAGCTTAAACTGAGCTGACGCTTGTAAATGGGTCAAATGATGGAAAGGAAGCAAAATGCTGAAGGGTAAAGAGTTTAGGGGAATTCAGTCCATTTGACATTTAAAACTCAGGTATTTGTTGGAAGAGTGCCACAAAAGGAGTACAACTCCTTCTTTTTCTTCCCAGGCGAAGGACTTCGAAATGTCTAATGAATATCCCATGCTTTCAGATGTTTTGAAGGATGAGCTGGATGAGTATCTGAAGAGGCTGAGCATTGTGCAAGTAGTCCGCCAGCGAGAAAGAAAAGGACTCATCACGGCTCGGCTGCTGGGTGCCTCCGTGGCCACCGGTGACACGCTCACATTTCTCGACGCTCATTGTCAGTCAATACCATTGACATTACTCATGCTTTGAAACGCTTTTGCACACCCTCACCGACACACCCACAACTGTACAAAGCAATGTTTATTTTACTTAAGACGTAAGTCAAGTATTTTTTATAATAAATTTGTGACGTAATTTTCCTATGTGTGTATTAACAGGTGAATGCTTTAATGGATGGTTGGAGCCTCTTCTGGCAAGGATAGCTGAAAACTACACTGCTGTTGTGAGTCCTGATATAACCACTATTGATCTCAACACGTTTGAGTTCATGAAGCCATCCCCCTATGGACAGAACCACAATCGGGGCAATTTTGACTGGGGTCTTTCCTTTGGGTGGGAGACTTTACCAGATCATGAAAGACTACGGAGGAAGGATGAAACATATCCCATTAAGTAAGTATCAATATAGAAATCACCTCTGTTTATTTTTTGCTGTCCCCTGTCGCAGAACGAAGTGAGGGACTAGGAAATAGCCTCCATCTATCTTTCTTGTGGGCTGGATAACTTGGAAAAATAGGTGATGTGTTGTCTTCCATTTTGGCATGTGGCTGCATCTTGGAGTAATAGTTTCCTACTGAAAACTGGGTTGCAGCATCAAAATCCAAGATGGCCACCATATGTGTAAAGTCTGTAAGCTGGATAAAGTAAAACAAATAAGCAATGGGCCGACTTCCACTTTGGTGTGTCTGCATTTAGGTGTAAAGCTTAAAAATTGGGTTGTCACATTAAAATCCAAGATGGCCACCACCATATAATTTTAGGAAACTATGCTTTTTAGTTTTTTACTTAAAACTGTAGTTTCCTCAAAAGATTGGGATGGCCAAAGATTATTCTATGGTGCACAAAGCCACCGCTGGCCACCTCCTGACTTTGCCATTGCACATGKTGATGGATAAAAGTATTCCCTCCACTAGTAACTCCTACCCATTTGAATATTTTGCACCAAAAACAYTGAGCTTTGCTTGCATTCCCTTTTAATTCCAGTCCAGAAAAAAACACATCTCAAAAAAACTATTTAAATACTTCAGCGACAGGGGACATCAACATACTGCTTGTTAACCTTTTAAAATAATGTTATGTGTGTTTGTTTAACAGGACTCCAGCATTTGCTGGTGGCCTCTTTTCCATTTCTAAAGAATATTTTTACCACATTGGAAGCTACGATGAAAAAATGGAAATCTGGGGAGGTGAAAATATTGAAATGTCGTTTAGGGTAAGATTCCGAGCTGTCATCCTTTGCAGCAATAGTCAGATTTATAGCTTAAGCTGTTCACCCTTTTGTGGTGTCCTGACGTCTTCATGGGTGTGTCTAACTGTGTGTCATTGTGTGTCTGTCGGCTCGCTCTAACCTGCAGGTGTGGCAGTGCGGTGGACAGCTGGAGATTATCCCATGCTCCATTGTTGGTCATGTTTTCCGAACTAAAAGCCCCCACACCTTTCCCAAGGGTACACAAGTTATTGCTCGAAACCAGGTACGACTGGCCGAGGTTTGGATGGACGAGTACAAGGAGATCTTTTATCGTCGAAACCAGCAAGCTGCGCAAATCGCAAAAGAAGTAAGCAATGCTTCCAGCTCTAATCTGCTTCTTAAGCTGTATCAGTTCCATTTATTTATTTTGAGGAGGCAACAAATTGAGGCTTTGTCTTTCATTTTACTCATGGCTGTAAATAAGGGATTTGAAGACTACTTATTATGTCCCTCTTTAGGCAAGCTCAAGCAAATCCACCTCCTGCTCCTGAATTGCTCATACAAGCGTCAGGTCTAATTATGAGTTTCTTAACATGTTCTGCAGGGAAAAGCACACACTCTCCTAGAGGACAATTTACTCTTGTAATGCTTTAGGGAAAAAGACATTCCTCAGAATGAGTAGTACATGGATCAGCTGTCAAAGGATGGAAGCTATTAAGTGACAAAGAAAAGCTGTAAAGGATTCAGCTCTAATAAATGACAGCCCCTCAGGTTTTGCCAACATGTGGTCTCATACAGGTCATAAACACTTTCCTCAGGGCTGTACCTCACTGAAAAGGATACCCCTGTCCCACTGGTTTCAGACAGAGACACTGCCATCCATGGCTTAGCAGAATCTGCTGTTGGAGCCGTCAGTACACACTTGTGTAAGCTGAATTGTCCTCATTATAGTAATTAAGGGCTCTCAGTGTTTAAGAGCACAAGGTGCCTCCAGATTGTTTTAAATGTGCTTTTACAGTTCAGTTTAAAAGGAACAGTGATCCAATAGTTGTCTGTAGCTAAATAAGCACATGGGAGCAATGAGATGCTCATCATTACATCAGGAGTTTTAAATGAAAACCAAAAGCAATAATATAGTACACAGTTTTTTTTTTTTTTTTTTTTTGTGGTGTTCATTTTTCATATGTCAGGTGTTTGTTTCCTTTTCTTTGGCTGTGATTTAGTAGCTCTGTAGTTTGCGTCAAATGAAAAATTAGTCTTTTATAGAATACCTACCTGAATATATCTATTCTGTTCTAAATTACCCTATTCTCTCTTTTTTATAAGGCTAAAACAAATGTTTTCCAGTTCGTTGGACTCAGATTGGAGTCCAAAGGAAGCAGATTTTAAACTGGAAATCAAAACTTGAACAAGCTGATTAAAAAATAAATAAATAAAATGGAAATAAAAACTATTTTCCCCTTTGAAACGTATTGCCTGTGCTAATTTGTGTGTTTATGTAAAGAAAAATCTTTTTTTTCTTGACCTCTTTGTTTCTAACAGAGAACTTTTGGAGACATCTCGACACGCGTGGACCTCAGAGAGCGGCTGCAGTGCAAAAGCTTCACGTGGTATTTGAAGAACRTTTACCCAGAAGTCTTCATGCCTGATCTCAATCCGCTCCTCTTTGGCTCAGTAAGCTCACACTGAGATTTCTCCCCACTTTTTCCCCAACCCCAAAGTTCTGTCTAGTTCGCTGTAGGTTTCCACTTTGGGACCTCTTGAGGGTGCAAGGCTGTTCCAATTTAGCACCATTGAAAACACTTCAGAGGCTCAAGTTGTTTGAACAGCTTGCACTGGATGTTAGTTTTTCATTTTGTTTCCTCTCACAGCTCTCCTTTTCCCTTCTCCTTTTCTGTAGGTTAAAAATGTGGGCAAAGACGCATGTCTGGATGCTGGGGAGAACAACGAGGGTGGAAAACTACTGATTATGTACCCATGTCATGGATTGGGAGGAAACCAGGTCAGAAAAAAAATGTTACTACTATCTCTTTTGACAAAACCTCACGGTTCTCACTTCAGCTACATCACCCGACGGTGTTTTTAATGTTTCTAATTCTTTAGTATTTTGAGTACTCCACACATCTCGAGATTAGACACAACATTCAGAAGGAGCTGTGTTTGCACGGCACAGAGGTGGCTGTGAAGCTGGAAGACTGCCAATACAAAGGCAGGAATACATTAGTAGGAGCAGAACAGAAATGGGAACTGAAGGATGTGAGTTTGCACTTTTTCATTTCCAGTGAACTAATTTGTGATTTCAGATGCCCAGATTATTGTTTAATGTTTATAGGAAAGTAGTAATTTTATTTTCTCTGTATTTAGAACCAGTTGCTCTACTTACCAGGATGGAATATGTGTCTGACTGCCCGTCATGAGCATCCGTCTTTGACTCAGTGCAACCCCTCAGACAGATACCAGCACTGGTCCTTCATCTAAGTGTGCAAAACACTACTTAAAACATGTCTGCTTTGTATGCAGGAGCATACTAGAACACAAGTGTTCTATAAAAAGTTTTTCTTTAGATCAGTAACCACGTTGGATTTTAATTTATTTTTATAGTTAGATGAACTGAACTACTGCTGCTGAAAAGTCTGGACATTGGAAGAAACCATCATGTGCCACTGTTACAAGAAAGCAAATGGTTCATGCAGCAGTGATGAGTACCTCTTTGTTTTATCTTAATAGCTTCACAATCAAAATATGCAATATTTAAAGTCAGCTGGTGGTTTGGTTGATTTAAAGTGTGACAAACAAGAGGTTCATGCTGRTTTTACAGAACTCCTAAATGTGATGCACCAAAGAGACAAAATTAAAGTCACACAAGAAAGATGAGCGTTCTCTTATTGAAGTATTTTCTCTACAAAGTGTAAGATTGTTTTTTTGGAACTGTCCAGTGTCCTGGATGTCATGTTTTGTTTTTGTTTTTCAACTAGTATTTTATCTTTTTATTTAAGTTTGCACCAGGGAATGAAAATGGTGAAGGTTGAGGTGGCAACAAACTATTGCCTTTAAATTAATTTCTGCTTTTTAAGTCCTTTTTTTTATCTGAATGGGACTGCTAATTTTATGCCAGTTTGGCCAAGTGTTTTGACCTAAAAGGAAGGAACAGGTGTTACAATCAAAATCATTCCTTTTTATTGCATCAACTCATCTATAATAAGCACAGATTTTATTAGTTACATCAACTTATTTAGTTGATTTGAAAAAAGTAATATTTTGTGTTTTTAGACAGACATTTATAAAAGTATTCACAACTTCCTTATATGCCATAGCCTGTCTCTTTGTGTGCATCTCGTCAAGAATCCACAAATGTATTTCTGGTGCAAGCACTGGTGATTAGATGACTGTGAAATATGTTGTGACTTGTTAAAGATGAGATTGAATGTGTTTGTTTTTGTCAAATGAAAACAGTTTAGTGTTTCAGTGCCATGATGAGATGTTATTTTGGGTACAATAAATTCTGTTGAGTTCCACTTTCTTTCTGGTCCGTGTTGTCTGCAGAGGGCGCTCTGCACATAAAAAATGACTTGCCTAAACAGACTGTAGCACTGATTAACTCACACATTGTTCATTACACAAGACTAAACATAGTGACTTAAGTTTCATAGCTGAGTGATGCAACAACAAAAAAAAAACATTTTTATAAAATTTATTTGAAAATCATGTTGGCTCTATTTACATTTGGAAACCATACACACTGAAAACAAACCAAAAAAAGTACCATTTTGTGCAAATCGTCTGCATTTCACCAAAAGTAAAACAAGAATTAAAAATCAAAACAGGCACATGAAGCTTTTACAACTCACAACTTGCATGAACCAAAGACAATATTAAGATAGTGAAGCAATTTTACTCAATACAGACTCTTTAGTTAACCACAATAAATACACATTTCAATAGTTTCATTCATAATAAATACTGGAAAATGAATCCAAACTGGATGCAGTCTCACTGGAAATAACCTCCTCCCATACACTTTGGCACAAGTGATATCCATAATAGGTTATGATGATCCCTTTGCTTGCCTGAAAGTTGTTCACTTTCTCTGTTAATCCCAGTTATTTAACAAACATAAACAAAAACAAATATTTTAGCACTAAACCTTCTGAATATGATGAATCTGCAGATAGTTTGCAAGCTTTTCATGCAGGAGCAACAAGCAGAACAGCAGAGTGTCTCGTAAAATTATTGCAGTCGATTGCTGAGCAGTCATGTCGGTTTCCTTTGAAGGAATATGTGTGTTTTTATTACTTTTAAGTTCTGCTTTTTTAGTTGTTTTTGATAGCTGACAGGCTTACAATCAACTTGGGTTGATTTTACTGCCAGTATGTGAGTTCATATTTTAAAATGAGCTTTGATTGTCAATTCTCAGCATTTGTTTTCATCTTATTACTTAGGAAAAAACATCAGTAATAGTGTTTGTTAATAAAAGCTTTAGTGCTTTAGATTAAAACCTATACAAGTACTGTGACAGCCTGTTAACATCTATTGCACTTGAGGACAAATTCTTACTAAATCCACTTAAATATAACTCTTAGTTCTTAAATAGACCCTTTCTCAAGTATTTACTGTCCTCCTTTCAAGCTTCTTACACTATCTGAAATTATACCAACAGACTGCTTCGTTCAAATTGTTTTAAACAAATTCATTAAAGAATAAACCATTTGTATTGACACATGCTTATTGTGAAATGTTTAAATCCTACTGCATGCCACTGGACCCCTCCACATACAGCGGGTAAAATAAGTATTGAACATGTCACCATTTTTCTCAGTAAATATATTACTAGAGGTGCTAATAACATGAAATTTTCACCAGATGTCGGTAACAACCCAAGTGATCCATACATACAAAGAAATCAAACCATAAATGTCCAGAAATGAAGTTATTTGTAATAATGTGGAATGGCACAGGGGAAAAGTATTGAACACACTTCCTGAAATGTATCTAATACTTTGCACAAAAGCCTTTGTTGGCAATGACAGCTTCAAGAGACAAAGACGAAACAACATATTTTTGGCACAAATGGAACCCCATATTGCTCAGGTGTGATTTTGGCCCATTCTTCCACAAACAGTCTGCAAATCTTGAAGGTTTCGTGGACCTCTTCTATGAACTCTGATCTTTAGTTCTTTCCATAGA